ATCTCCCAGTTAATGATTTCGTCACTGGCTCTGTCATGGTAAACAAGTAATTCCTGGTTAGAAACCACATGCGAAACGTAAGCATTGGGGCAATTGCTGCTATTAGCTATTACTGTCTAATTAGTCAGCCACAATGCACAGCACTGTACCAAGTGAACTAGTTGTAAGGATCTTTGGAAAGGAAAACAGAAATACTCTATTATTTCCAGAAGTGTGACTTGAATGCAGTAATTTACTGCACCACCTCACTCGAAATGTGAGACAGGCTGTATTTATTTCTTGTCTTGTGCATCTGAGCTAACTACCTTGAGGCAGCAGTATAAAAATCAGTTGCTGTGACTCACTTCTTGAAAATTTATTTTGCTGCTTCTTAAAATCTTGGCCTGGTTGACCTCAGCAGCCTTCACCAGTTGAAAATGCAAGTTATAATTCTCTGTAGGGATTGAGGCAGGTGTCTATTACAGCATGTAATCTGTCATACAGTTTCCAATATTCACGCTGCAGAAGGGTTAAGCCCCTCCATCTTTGTTCCTGAGTAAAAAGGTCCATGAGGTATTAGTGTGGACAGGAAGCAGATTGAAAGAAGCAACAGCTTCAATCAAGCCCTAAGCCTGTCTAGATGCCACTGAGGAGCTGTCCTGATAAGAGACAGGTGGCTTCACCTGAGTCATATCACTCGGATTTTAACCCTTTAACAGCAGCTGCAGCACTGCTGCCAGCTCCCCTGACATTCATACTCCTGCTAGACCTCTGTTTTTAACCAAAATCCTCACTCTAGGGTCACTGTCCCATCTTTCCACCCATTCACCAGGTCATTCCTGAAGATGCACTTGGTAAGACAACCTCCTGCCCAGCGGGAGCAAGGCCAGCCCCAGCGCTCTGTCCCAGGCAGGAATACTTGCAGAGAACCTCAGACACCACATAGAAGTTCAAGCAGGCTGGCACAGACATCACTGCGTGCTAAAACAAACTAAATCCGGCTAATTAAGGGGAAACCCTACTGGGACCAGTCAGCCTTGATCAGCAGCTTCTCAGGTAGCTCTGCTTTTTCCAGCTGCGGCTGAGCGTGATCAAACCGTGTGATACAGCCACGTGCCCTCACCATGCATGCAAAATGGTACCTCTTTGTAGAGCCAAAACTTTTAGACTATGTTGATAGTTTTGGTAATATTTTTAATTCTGTGAGCAACCTAAAACAAAATAAATAGCAACTTAATTTGCCTGCCTGCAAGGAGCTATTTAATATCAGTCTGCAATTACTGTACGGGAAAATAGTGGGTTTCTTTTAGATGGTCGTGATGCTGGGAGAGCCTCAGTTACCTTTTACACTAATTGGCAGTAAATGTTTGGAAGCATTTATTAGTGTTTAATTATTTAGAAATCTCCTTATGGCTTAAATATTGTTTTGAAAAGTTGTATGTATTTTCCACCTTGTCCAGCTGAAGACCTGCTGCTTGGAAGGCTTAAATGAAGATCTATTTAAGGCTGCCTGCTGGTCACTGAATTACTTACAGCTGCTAATGCTCCAGTCCTGTAGATGTGCCCAACATGGAATGTGCTTAGTTTTCACAAACTGTGGAAAGTTTTTCTTTGTTGTATTCATTTTACCAAGATAGAGGTTTTAAAGAGGATTATCACAGAGATCAAGACATTAAAATACGTAACTAATCCCAGTTGAATTAATTGTTTTCATACTAACATGTACTGAGGGGTATTCAATTAGTGTAAGACACCTTTACACTGTTTCAGACGTATAAGTATGACTTAACATGCAAATTACATTAAAGATGAAATATAGGCAGTTTAAAGCCAAGTTGCTGGTAGAAAAAAAAAACAAAATAGAATCTGATTCCAAGCCTCTGAAGCAATAATCACATTAAATATTTCAAAATTACAGCAGGGACTGTCATGTCAGTAGGCAGAGGGGAACTCACCTAAGCTCATCATTTCCCTGTGTTAGAATTCAGGACATTTATTTTATTGGCTTATATCGGCTTAGATTTTTTTTTTTGTCCTAATTTCCTCTCTAGAATACTAAACACCCCACAGATTATTTTGGTGTCATCAAATCATTCGCCTCTTAAAAGAGAATTCTGCGCTATAAAATTAAAAGAATAATTCTGTTTATTAGGGAGGATATGCCTGAAGCTTTTTCTTACAATTCTCATTTTTGATGCTGTCTTTACTCCGAGGTTTCTGTGTTAGGTTGTGCCACTGACATTATTGATGGTAAGAGATTCTGGTGCAGGGACAGCATTGCAATTCTGATCCATCTCTCACTGTGCTCTGCTATTAATTGGAATTGCTTCGTCTTTCCCAAAAAGCTTTGTCCACACAGAGATGTAGACTATATTCAGTAGCAAGCTAAGGCTGATTTTTAGCATTCGTGGCACCATTCTTTCAGGTACCTTATTGCTACCAGTTCTCATTATCTGACTGCATTCACACTAGCTTGTGTTTTGTTAGAGCCCTGTTTCCCAGCATTTTCTGATTATATTGGCACCTCAGCTTTTGCTAAAACGGAAAAGGTGAAAGAAAACGGGAGCAAAAGAAATCAGCTCATATACAGAAAGAAACAATATATCCCACACAATCTGAGTTACTTACTGAAAGTCATAAAACATGCCTCCTCCAGCACCCAGGGACTAGCGGATCAGGGCGGCTTTACTTTTTAACACGAAGAATCACAAAAGACTCAGTGGTTGCTTGTGGAGCAGGAAACCAAAGCCGTCCCTCAGCAGTGCTTAATGCACCTGTCTGGCTACCCAGAAACATTTATTTGCTGGGTTTCAATACCCGTGACCTCCCAGTGAAGTTGCTTTTACCAAAGCAATATCAGAAGCATACACATTATAGGTACACAGGCAGCTTCATGGTTACAGGTACAGAACTGGCCAGATTTTCTAGTAAAGCACATAAAGGTATGATTTATGCAATTCTGAACATTTTCTGCAAAACTAATATTTACAGATTGAAGGATCTGGAACATCACAGATTTCACATATGCATAGTTTTCCTAAGGAAAAGAAAAAGCTTAAGTAAGTTAGTAAATTCTGGCATTTGTGTCTAATTACATTAAATGGAGCTTAAATAATAAAGAATCTGATGTTTTCTTTATTCTTCTTTATTTTTATTTTCACTGTTTTATTCAAAAGGAAGACATAGAAATAGTAACCATGAACTTGAAATCAGAGCTGTAACAGGGACTTACTATAGACACGTTTTGCAGAATATTTGCAGTTACAGTTGTATGCTTTGAAGCTGTCAGTGTAACAAGCAGTGTGCTGCTTCCCAAATAACCCTTTTTGTTGTCTTGTAGTTTTTAGCTTAACTTTGAGTCCCAGTTAATTGTTGTCAGTTTTAGCATTCAGCTGTACTAATGGGAAAGAGAGAGAGAGGAAAAAAAAAATAGTATTTCCCAGCCTATGTAAGAGGAAGTTGCTAGTGGGAAGGTCAAAGTGAGTGCAGAAGTCCTTTTACTTGTGTTTCATGGGAGTATGTCAAGGAGCAGAGCCGCAGCCGAGGTGGAAACTCATGTTTGAAACCCATTTCCTACGCTGGATAGCATTGAATCGCTTCATTGCCCTGAGCCTTTGAGATGGAGAGAAGCATAACTGTAATTATAAGAAAAGAAAAGGTTGATTATCACTAGGGCTTGTTCTGTTTTCAGGCTAGTTGAGGCGAGCTCTGGGTAATGACAGCTATACTTATTAATAACAGCAGCTACACTTATGCCCCTATCAAGCACTGATAGGTATAGGTATCTGCATCTTTTTCCCCAGCGGTGCTGACCATCAGTCAAAAGACACATGGCTTCTTCCACAATCTGTGTGTAAGGTAGAGGGAAGGATATAGAGCAGCAGTTGCTCTCTGGAACAAACACAGAATGAACACGAAGAAAAATATTAATGTACTGTTGGAAGCCAGAATTAGAAAGACGTGATTTGGTGCAGCCTATGGGGCCTGATGTCTTGGCAACTGGTGCAAGATATCCCCAATCTGCAGACAAAATAGCCTTTGTGAAGAAGCCCAAGATTGTAGTGTGCAAGTTAGGGGATCAAAAGGCCAAGAGGAGAATAATTCACTTTCACCTTGCTGCAGAGGACAAGCAGCAGTAAAAGCTGTGCATTATTGGCAAGCTTTTTTTGTTGCTGTTTTTAACTCAACCCCCAGTTCAGAGCTCCAGCCACCTCGGCAGCATTCCAGCTGGAGCTGCTGACATCTCCCACCTAATCAAGTGCTGGATTATCTTGTCCTGATAAATTGGAGCCGGTGCCTCGTGAAAAGTCTTTCCTGAAGTACTCTGCTACCCTGTAATAAGATGGCAGATGTCTGAATCAAGCCCCAGAGCTGGCAGAGTGCTGTTTTCCTAATGGCTTTTGGTGGCAAGTGTAAATATTTTAAAGCAAACCAGTGCTAAACTGGAAGCACAGTTAAGCATGATAAATTTCACACCCAAGTGAAAGGAAACTTGAAGGTGTGCTAGGTACTGGTTCATACTGAGTACATACTGGCTGCATTGCTTACCTCAAAAAGGTAAAAAAAAATTTACACCTACCCTAAAAATTACTCCTTCTGTGAGTGGAGCTCTTGTGGAACATATTTGTTTCAAAAATAAATTCTCTTCAGCTGGTGCATCTTTCTAGGAAGAGTTGGAGTTATTGAGCTATTAGAGACTTGCTCAGCCTTTTGTGACTCAATCCATGGTCCAAGTCATTCAGGGTAAATAAACTCTTTTCTTTCTCTGAAACATACTAAGAAAACTGTTTATGTTACAGAAGCAAAGGTGCTGTATGTGTGTGTGTTTGTACATTAGCAGGTAAAACAACAAGGGTTAATCTAGCTAACATAGAGGTATTCCTTGCAAACATTTGTTTTTTCGTTCTTGGTTTAAGTCCTGGAGAAAAAGCAGCATTTCTTATGTGCCAGACACGCAACATCTTTATGTGTCACAGCCACCTATACTGTGCCTCTCATAACACAGCTTTGCTCTTTTCCAGGGGAATCCCTACATGTGCAATAATGAATGTGATGCGAGTACCCAAGAACTGGCTCATCCTCCAGAACTGATGTTTGATCTCGAAGGAAGACATCCCTCTACATTTTGGCAGTCCACAACTTGGAAGGATTATCCAAAGCCTCTTCATGTTAATATTACGCTCTCCTGGAACAAAACCATTGAGCTCACAGATAACATAGTTATCACTTTTGAATCTGGCCGTCCAGACCAAATGATCTTGGAGAAATCACTTGACTATGGACGAACATGGCAGCCCTACCAATATTATGCCACGGACTGCTTAGATGCTTTCCACATGGATCCAAAATCGGTGAGGGATTTATCACAGCACACGGTCCTAGAAATCATTTGCACAGAGGAATACTCTACTGGGTACATGACAAATAGTAAAATAATCCACTTTGAAATCAAAGATAGATTTGCTTTTTTTGCTGGACCTCGGCTTCATAATATGGCTTCTCTTTATGGCCAGCTTGACACAACCAAGAAGTTAAGAGATTTCTTTACCATCACAGATCTGAGGATAAGACTGCTTAGGCCAGCAACTGGAGAAATATACGTAGATGAGCAACACCTGGCACGCTACTTTTATGCAATTTCAGACATAAGGGTGTACGGAAGGTAAGAGAATATGTACTTTTGGAAACAGGCATATGTGTTTGGTTTTAGAGATTATTCAAAACTTTATTTCCCATACTTGACATTTTCTGTCGAGACATGTTCACTGGAAATCTGGCTTAGTTGAAGTCTGCTTTTTTTCATACTAGAAGCTTCTGACTCAGTGGCACAAAGTTCCAGGTGTTCACTGACACTAGCCAGGGATCTTGAGCCCTGGCTCTCACAGGCAGGTTTGCATTAACAGTTTCTTATGTAGGCTCAGGAATTCACCCTGGCATCAGGACACTTTCTGCTTTCATATAGTTGGAGCCTGATCTGATGGCAGTTAACTGAAAAGAGAGATTCTGTTTTATCATTTGACTTTTTCAGACCTTTAATGTAAGCTGTGATTGATACTGCAGAAGCGTCCCTTCGCAGACCCTTCCCACTAGGTCTGACTATGAACTGCCTGTGAACAAGGAAGGCGGCAGAGATTAGAGTCCATTCCTTGTACTTAAGTTAGTTCTGAAATGCAGTGAAGCTGTAGTAAAATAAAAAAAAATAAAAATAAAATAAAAATAATAAAAAAAACCCCAAACCACAAAATGCAACAGTATTTTATAGAGACTGATTTGAATATAACAAAGATGATTACTCAGCTGGGTTCGAGACAAACAGTCCATCGCGGCAGAGATTAGAGTCCATTCCTTGTACTTAAGTTAGTTCTGAAATGCAGTGAAGCTGTAGTAAAATAAAAAAAAATAAAAATAAAATAAAAATAATAAAAAAAACCCCAAACCACAAAATGCAACAGTATTTTATAGAGACTGATTTGAATATAACAAAGATGATTACTCAGCTGGGTTCGAGACAAACAGTCCATCTAGGGCAAGCAGTGGCTGGTATCAGGGGCCGTGGTCCCAAAAATAATAACTGTGCGTTGACAGTCCTATTGGGAAATTTTCTTCCCAACTCAAACTAGCAACTGACTAATGACCTCAAGCAGGACGGTGATACCCTTTATGTGTGTCTTGGGTGGCAATTTGTTCTAAAAAAATAAATGGGACCTTCTTTATTAGCAATTCACCTCTCTAACGTACTTTTTCCTTCTCCTTTCTTTCTTCTATAGAGAGTTCAAATCTTCAAAATGAACAGAAAAGCTAATGTATCTTGGAAGGTCAGGGCATTTTTCACAAACACAGGACTAAGTGCAAAAAAAAAATAGGGACAGTGATTATATGAAGCAGTGGTGACTATATTTTTATTACTCTTATAGTGAGTTTGCCATTTTCTACTTAACTTTTATACAAGCCTTCATGTTCATAAGCATTTCCGTATTGCAAAAATTGATACAAAAAATCAAACAGAATAAACTACTGTGATGTAATCTATTGAAAAATATTTTTAGAACTTTATATAAAGGAAGGACTGATGATTTATACAGATTTGAATGCGTAGGTGCTTTTGCAGTGACGATATATTTTTACGTGACATCAAGAAAATTTCTCAGGACCATAGATTTACATAGCATATAGTTACAACCTTCTACATGCACACCAAATACGTAGGCATAGATACAGAATCAGTAGTTGAATGTGTGAAAGTGGAAGATGAATGTTGCTGATTTAAGAATTCTTACTGTAACCGTTATTAGTTACATTGTAAATTATTTTGCAGAAGTCTCTTAGGAGCGTTAAGTGGATCATGGACAACTTAAAATACAGTTTTAAACAGTTTCATAAGATTAGCCTTTTTATAGAACAAAAATAACAAGTAAGTTCTGTTTAATGCATGTCATTTCTCCACCGTGCTCCACATAGGTTAGCTGTACAGAGGCATCATATCAAAGCTCAGGATCTGAAGGTCCTTACGTCTTAAGACAAAGCTGCTCCCCATCCAAAAACCCATTTGGAAATTACTCTGACTTCAATTAGACTATCAATACTTTATGAAATAAAGCATCTGAAGGACTAAAAAGGAGTGCATTGCATGCAAATGAGAAACAGAAACCTTCTAAGCACATCTGGGGCGTCTTGTGAAAAATTACAGAAATGAAGCATGACTGTACAGAGAAGTTATCTGATGCTGATGCTTGTTGTCTACATGCTGCAGTAATTGGACACATGCTTTAAAAGAAATATCTGATGTGTAATAGTGCCTCACCAGATTAGATTCATGTGGATTCTTATCAGTTTTCTGCTAATGAGAACAGCTCTTTAGGGATTTGGTGGCCTTTCCTTCAATAGGTAGCGAGACCTCCTTGTTAAACACTTTAAGGGCTCGCTTACTGCTAAGTAGCTGTGGGGTTGCAGTACACAGCCCTTGATTATTTAGTCACACCAAATGTAACTTGCAGTAGGCACAATGTCACCCAGTTTTAGGTATTTTTAGTCTCCTACTGGAAACCTTATAGCACCCCATTAGCATTATAGCTAATTTAGGATGTTAACTGAAAATAATTTCTTTTTTTTTTCTTCTTGCTACAGTGTTTCATATTCTGGGCTCTGAGACCTAGATATTTGTATCCGTATAGTAAAGCTAGACTAGACTATTCCTTTAGGACAGGATACGAAGGGACATTACCGAGGAGCTTGACGTGTGGTAGATGAGTGATGCTAGCAGACGCATTTTGAAGCTAGTCCTTTTACTGAAAAAAATTACCTGTAGGTTAAATGTAGTTAAAAACGCTAAAGCTCATAATAACATATTTCTAAAGGCAGCATAAAATGTTATTTGTTTCATGCTGTATTTTAAAGATCAATGACAATGAAAAGCATCTATCTTAAAGCCACCATGTTTAATATACAGGATACTGGGGTGGTCAGTACTTCACAATGAATTATAGATAGGAGATTTGCCCACTTAATATAGGGTTTGTTCTGTCATTGCTTTGCATTTTGGTGTGAAATAAGCCTGAGATGTGTTGCATTAGAGGTGAAAACCTGTGTGCTCACAATGAATGCCTTACCTCCTCTATTGCCACCTGTTTATTCATCTTCAATTTAGCACCTCCATTGCGTTATTTATTAAGGTGATGAAAAAAATGAAACGTGGCTGTTAGCAATTTCAGCAACCCCATTGTGTTCACATTATTCAAGAAACCTAGTAATCCACATGAACAAATTCTGACTTTCTGATGGTCTGCTTCACTAAATCAGGGTGATTTTTTCTAGTGAATAATGGACGGTGTAGTGTGCCAGTACCTTAATTAAAGAGAGCCTCTCTAAGTCTTGATCTCATTTTAATTTACAGGGTAATACTACAATAATATCACTAATGGAAGGTACATTAAAGGGCATAAAGTAGCATTAACTGTATTAAATTATGGCACTTGTGTTAATTAACTGCTGAAGCAAGATGGTCCTAATGGCTAGAAAGGTCGACTAATGCATAAATAAAGTCTTCTGGGATGGGAAAATAAGAAAGAGCAGACATTTTTCCCCTTGTCTGGCCTTGCTGCAGAGAATCAGAGGGCGTCCTGTGTGGTAACCTCAAGAAGGTTTCTTTCACTTCATTGCCTGGACTGTCTGAGGGCTCTGCCTGTCTTTGATTCCACTTGAGGGACAGTCCTGGCAGTAAGCTGTGAGGTACATATCCCTTTTTTAACCTTTTTTTTTTTTTTGGTAAAAGAATTTCACTAAAATGCCAATAATGATTCATCCGAAGTTAAGCAAAAGGTTCCTAGCAGATTTTGGATCAGGCTGCTAAAGGTTTAACTATGTTCATTCTGAAGCATTTTTGCTTTAATTGTTATATTGTCAGTGATGTGTACACTTACACACTGTAAATTAACTGTAATTTGGGATGCTAGTAAGAAAACATTGCCCCAATGAGTGACAGAATGACTAGCTGGCTAAAACAAAGGATCTTATTGTTTTGAGGTGATTAGGTTTTGATCTAAGAGCCAGCAGTTTCCTTCTGACTCCAGAATATCCAGCCTCTGTACAAAGTTATTAAGTCCTTTGAAATCTATTTTTATACCTTTCTTGCCTTAAAGCTTCTCTATTTAAGCCCCAGGGTTTTCTGACCCTGCCTCAGCTATGGTTACAGTTCCAGCAGCAATAGAAACCTCAAACTTGCCGTATGCAAGTGGAAAGTATCCTCAGTTTTAACAGTTTCTTGCTCTCATTCTCTCTTCTAAATTTAAATCCACCTCAGCATCTGAATAAATTAGTCTGAAGGAAAGCATATTTGCTACTTAGGGGGCTGGGGCTTTTTTTGTCCTTTTAGTCAGCTTGCCCCTCCTGCCAGCTGTAACCCTGACCCTGCTGTGGTGGAGTTGGGGTAGGTGAGCGCCCTTCCTCTTAGAAAGGGCTGTTGTGCTGCCCTGAGCCGGGAGCTCGCACCACAGCCTTTAGTGGACAGTCACGGCGTGAAGGCTCAGTTGTACCAGGTTTCATCCTCTCTTATTCTACAGATCCATTCTATGGATGGATTAATCAGATTAAATCTGTATGTTACTCTGGCATACACTTGACAACGCTGTAATAATATCCCTCTGCAATTCACCCAAAGCAAAACTTTGCCCTGGGGAAGCAGTAATATATAGAAGTGATTTAGTTTTATTTATAATAGAAAATGTTTTCATTAATGTTCAGCTTCAAAACAGACCATCAATATGAAGATATGTAGGCTTCAAGCTTTTAAAGAGGCAATTGACTAGCATTCTTGTTTCTAGTGTTTATTTACCATACTTGAATATGCTTTGTTTTACGAGAACACTTGGATAAACTGCTTGTTCTCCTTTGAGATTTTCACTAGTCACTGGAGGGAGTCTAGCAGTTTCCCCAATTAAATTATGAACTCATTAGAGAACAGGAAAGAAAAAGAAACTTATATATTTAAGAGCATGTCAATTTATCTTTAACTCCCAAGTGCAATTACCTTTTTTACTATATTTACTGTAATCTGTCACTAAGGAAAATGGCCTTTCATTTTCTGTAGACAAATCTAGGATCATCAGGAATTAAAATAATTAAATACTTACTGTGTTTATTTACACATGAGCAGTCTCCAGTGATTTACTTG